ACCCGAGACGTCTTCCGAGGATTCCTGAGTCCGCCGAGGGGAAGCAGAGAGAACGCAGAGAGAGTTACGGCCTCGGCGCCTGGTCTGTACCCAGGTGACTGTCCAATGCAAGTGAAAATAAAAACCACAAGCACCGAGAGAGCCAACGCGGCAGAATACAAACCCGTAAAAAGCCGGCTCTAATGCAAGGAAGTCGGAAGGAGTTGTGCCTACATTTACTAGGCGAATACTTCAAACTTCTTTCCGTTCGGGAGCCGTGGATTAAGGGTGACCCGTCTCCTTAAGCACACCCTCTGCTCAGCCTCCCCACCATCCCCCTGCCACCCCCTTGTAAACTGGAAGGAGGATGAAGCCGTGTTGGGACGCTGCCGGGATGGAGTTGAGTTACTCCCCTACCTGCGCCCGGACCGTGCAGGCGAAGCCCCACATGGCTTTATCTGGGGTGTTGTGTTCTCGGCCGCTCCGCATTTCGAAAGAGAAGGTGACGGTGTCTCCCTCCACCTGACGGTTTGGGTGAGAAGAGAGCCCATGAAACAGACGAGCGAAAGGCAAGGCTCCGCGGGTCGTTATCCCAAGATACAGAAGGAAATCCGGAGACGGCCTTCTGCTCCTCTGCGGATTTTGCCCGTCATCCAGGAAATTCTTCTACATTTTGAGAGTAAGTGGCTGAGTTGAAATTCCATCAACAGGGACGGGAAAGGGCTATCTGGTACCTTGACCAAATCTTTAGGCCACCCTGTCCCCAAGACGCTGCGGCTGCCGTATCCCAAGGTGTTGCCTCCGTATTCGGCAACCTTCCGACTGTTTGTGTTGGGCCCGGCGTAGATGACCAGCTGCAGCGGAAACACAACAGGCACAGGGGGTTGGCACGGGGGGCAGATCAAACCCGCAGGAGCGTTTCTTAAGAGCTCCTCAGAGGGGAGCAAGCAAATGAATGGCGCCATATGGGATCTTCCGACCACGCAGACATCCTAGTGGTAAGAGAGCATTAAGGGAAGCTTCTCCCAAGCCACCGCTTCAAGTTTTTATTTTTATTCTCTTATATATAGTTACAGCTACACCTTCACGTACTTATTATTCTTATTTATCTTTTACATATTTGTTTTCCCATATAAAAGGTTAAAATATACATTCTGGGTTGCTTTGCTTACCATTCCGTGCATTTATTTTGTCTTATCACCATCCTAT